GATGGGCCAGGAGCTGTATCTGAAGGAGCCGCTGTTCCGTGAGACCATCGACCGGTGCGGCCAGGTCCTGGCGCCCCATCTGCCTGTCCCTCTGCAGATGCTCTTGAACCCCTCGGACGTCCACCTGCCCATGGTCACGGCCGTCCTCGCCCAAACACAATTCGCACAGCCTGTCATCTTCGCCATCGAATACGCAGTTGCGCTGCTTCTCATGAAGCAGGGGATTCGCCCTGAGTGCGTCCTGGGTCACAGCCTGGGCGAGTACGTCGCCGCAACCATTGTTGGCACCTTTTCGCTTGAAGGTGGGCTGGAGGCAGTCGTGCAGAGGGCTCGCATCATGCAGGAGATGCGTTCGCAAATGGGCGTGATGGCGGCTTGCCGAGCCAAGTGCCAAGACGCACTCGGAGCAGTGGAGAAAGTGCGGTCCCGCCATTCCTCGGGTAAGCATCGCTGAAAGGTACACGTGGGTGGCACGCGGAAATGATCTGTCTGTGTCGTTGCTGCGCTGTCCTGCAGGTCCAGGCTTGTCCAAGGGTCTTGAGGTGGCTGCCATCAATGCGCCCAACAGCATTGTCCTGTCGGGATCGGCAGATATGGTCAAGAAAGCTCTTCGGGCCATGCGATGCGAGGAGACCTTCCAACTGCTGCCGGTATCGCATGCCTTCCACTCACCCCTGGTTGCTGAGTCCGTCGGTCTACTCAAGGAGACGCTGAGCAAGACTTCTCTGAGCGGGGCAGCATCTGATATCCAGTTCGTCTCCACGGTGTGTGGCGATATCGCTGTCGACGCGATGGTAACAGCGCCCGAGTACTGGGCCGAACACATCGTACAGCCGGTCAAGTTCATGCAGGGTGTCCAGAAAGCAGTTTCTCTCGGCAGTGAGGTCCTGATCGAGCTGGGCCCTCGACCGACCTTGACGCGCCTGGGACGCAGCTGCTGCCCCAATAAGGAGCTGAGCTGGGTGTCAGCGATGGATCCGACTGCAGGAGAGTCTGAGAAGCTCGCGACTGCGGTTGTCTCGATCGCCACCAGAGAGACAAAGCCTGCCGAGGCCGTCGACAGGGTCATCTGGGACCGAAAGTCCTTCCCATGGGTTCAGCCTTCTCACCCGCTGGCCGGCGGCCGCCGCACTGTGACCAAAGACGGGACGATTGTATGCGAAAGGTATCCGCCAGAGTCACTCTTCACCTCGTTCCGTGCTTCGTCAAGCGGTGGAGAACTGCAGCTGCCCGCGTCTTGCACAATCGACGCCTTGGCAGCCGCAGCCTGTATGAAAGAACGGTACGAGGAAGACGCGGCTGCTGACACGATCATCCTCGAAAGTATCCGGCTGAGGCAGCCAGTCACACTGCGCAAGATCTTAGGAGAGAGGCCTGGCGACAAGGACAAGTTCATCCGCACAAGGAAGAACGGCAATGAGGTGGCAGTCTTGACGTGCTCCAAGAGCGCAACATCACGTGACGCGACAGAGCTGCATGCGGAGGGCAAGTTCTCACTTCAGTCTGCCCCTCCTGTCCCGGCAGTGTACGACGCTGCGAAGATCAAGGGACGGTGTACACTCAAGACGAGCACGGAGCTCGAGTCGTGTCTCTCGAAGGCTGCTGCTGGGGACTGCAGCCTCCTGAAGGAGAGTGGCTTCGCCATCACCGAGTTGCACGTCGGAGAGGGCGAACTGCTGGTCAACGCGACAAGGGCGATGGGTGAGGGGAAACGCGACTCCCTCTTGGGCTGGAGGACACCACCGGCACTGAGTCTGATCGCCACGTCCCTCGCTCCTGCAATCCTGATGAACACCGCCAACTCGTCTGTGTCGCGGAAGATGTCTGACGTCACACCTGTGGCGATCAATCACGCGGTGGTAGGGCGGCTGAAGGACGGGCAAGATGTATGGCTACACGTTCAGAGCCATCATGAGAGCTTCACAGGGCAAAGTGGCCCCTTCTCGGTACGGGCCTTCAGTGGTGAATCCCATGAAGTGCTCTACTTGGAGGCCCTCCAGACGAGCGTCACCAGGGCTGGTGCTGAACAATCTCCATTTGTCTCCCTCCCGACGGACTCTTTGTGGCAAGTCGAGTGGACGCCGCGATCGAAGGTCAAGGCTGAGCCGCGAGACAAGACACGACCTCCATTGATGTTCGTCGGCCTGAACAACGAGATGCAGGCTCGCCTCTCAATCGCCCTCGTGGGGACCGGCAAGCACGCCTATTATCTGATGGGTCAGCTTCCGACTGCTGAGGAGATCATCACGAAGAGCTGGGCTGCCATCCTGTACATTGCGGGGGCGGCGGACGTCTTCTGGGACTCAACACATGACGTCCTCTCGGGCGCAAGAGGCCTCCTGGAAGTGCTCCGAGAGTCGCTCAAGATTGCTCAGGACGGCATCAGTGGTCGAAGTGGGACATACGAAGTGCCACCGGTGTGGATTGTGACACGCGGCCTAGCAACAGCCATTGATGGAGAGAAACTGCCCAGGATGCCGCACCACGGTGGCCTCGTCGGCCTTGCGAGATCGACGAAGCTGAGCATCGAAGCTGAAGTCAGCCGCTTGGTCCGCATCGGTTGTGTTGACGTCATCGAGATAGATCGGAGCACCGCCAAGGAGCTTCTCCTTTCGGTGGTGCCGAGGTCACAGGATGAGCCGTTTGAGCCCGAGATCAGTATCCGGAATGGTGTGCAGTACGTACGCCGACTCAAGCCGGTATCTTTGGAGGATCTAGAGGCCGATGACGCATCAGCGGACGGCGAACAAGACAGAGCAGTCTCTGCTGCTGAGAGGGTGACCGTCATCGGCGATGCGGAGAGCGTGCAGCAATGGTCTCAAATGTTGCGAGGAGCGGGTGTGTCGTTCACCCGAGTGCACACCAGCAATGAGGCCGAGGAGCCAGACATGGCTGCTGACGCAATCGTGTTGGAATCCGAGGAGGACTATGCACGATGGTTGAGGAAAGAGACGCGTCATGATCAGGGTCCTCCCGCCATCCTGTATGTCGGAGGGACCGTGCTGAAGCCCGCAGAAGATCTCGAAGACCTCTATCAGCGCGACGTGGATCCTCTGAAACGGCTATGCGAGGCCATCATTCGAACAGAGGCGCCGATTGATTCACTCTCGGTATTCGTGTCATCTGCTTCAATCCTGAGCTGGAAGGAAGAGGAGTGCTCGATCGTCTCGTGCGCAAACACAGCGATGGCATCCTTCATTCGGTCTCGAGTCAAGAAGGTCGCGACCATCGCTTTGCCTCCCGTGGCGGGCCAGACGATGATTCACAGCGACAGCAAGCACCTGTTCCCGTCCGTTCCTCTGTCCTCAATCCAGCCGCTCGTCGTGGAGTGTTTGATTCACGGTCGACACTTTCCGTCCGCCGCGACTTGCATGTCTCCGCTGTGCATCCAGCCCATCAAGTGGAGGGTGCTGAAAGAGACTCCTCTCACGACTGCTTCGCTTTTCCAGCTCATCGACATCGACAGGCGGGTCCAAGAGGAGGAGCTCATCACATCCATCAAGGACACAGCAAACGACCAGGACGACAATCCTCTGAAGCAGAGGCTCCTTGCAATGCCTCTGGACGAGCGGACCGCAACCATTCGTCGAATCGCAGAGGAAGTCGCACGCGACGTCATGGATGACCCGACAGAGGTCGACCAAATCGACCTGGACACGCCGCTCCAAGACCTCGGAGTCGACTCTTTGGCGGCCGTTGAGCTTCGCAACACAATGCAAGACAAACTCGGCGTCAGGATTCCCACTGCAGCCCTCATGGAGAATCCCACTCTCAACGGGATGATACGGATCGTCAACGATCAGCTGGAGGGCCGGCCCCTGCCACAAACCGTACGACGACAAGAAGCGCTTTCCCCACGCAGCAGCAGTTCGGATCGTTCAGAACCTGGTGCACCGTCAACAGGTACGAAAGGAGGAGTTCGCTCCTTTGATTGCCTGCCACCGTTGCCTTTTGCTGTGTCTCTCACATTAACTCCTTCAGGTGGTAACCTGACCCATCTTGCTTCGTCGGCACCGTCGGTTGCGTCCGAGAGGCTTCCAACAGCCACCCTCCTGTCGCCACAAATCTCAGCGGCGTCAACACGGAAGGTGGCGGCGTCCCCGCATTCGAGAGAAGCGCGGCCAAACAGAAGACATGTCACAATGCCAGGAATGCTGCACCTCGAGCCTCTGGCCCCTGAAATCCCCGCCACTCGTCCATCTGCCGAGCCCCGACGGCAAGAGACCTCTCAAGTGGCAGCCGTTCCCCAGCAACAGGAGACATCTCAGATGGCGGGCACTGCATCCAATCCGTTCATCCTGGGCATCGGGACGGCGAATCCCGAGAATGTCATTCCAACGATCGAGGCGGCAGAGAGCATGGTCAACTTCTATCGCGAGAATATCACGGACAAGGAGGCCAGGCGGCTGAGAAGGATCGCCAAGACTTGCGGCATCGATCAGAGGCGGAGTGTCTTCCCGATTCAGGTAAAAATCACGTGCCGTCCCTCATCGCAGCACTTCTTAGACAGAATTGCTTGTGTGTTTTCTCAGGAGCTCAACGAAATGGGAGCGGATTATCAGCGGGGCGAGGGCGACCTGAGCTTCGAGAGGCGGAACGAGGCGTACCTTCAGTACGCTCCTGGTTTGGCAGTGGCTGCGGCGTCGAAGGCGTTGTCTGACTGGGGTGGTCGAGCGAGCGACA